CACACACAGACTCTGCCTCTCTCTCTCTGCACACCTTCCTGCCAGACCCCCATCCGTTAAGACACAGCCAGCACGAACCCCCTGCCCCGTCCCCTGCGTGGGACGACATAGGCGTCCCACACCTGTCGCCCATCCCCCCAAAAGAAACAAAAAAACACTGTTTGCTCCGCCTCCTTCTCCCGCTGATAGCCACCCCGCGACCCCCCCCCCCCACCACAAGAGTGAACAACACACGATGCGCGCGCGCGGGCCCCCACCAGCAGGTGTGCCTGCGCCACGTTGCCCACGTAGGTCATGTCCCATTTGTTGGACCCGTCCCCTATGATGTACTTCATCTTGCCGGCCCGCGCCTGCCGCACCAGGGTCGGCACCAGAACAGTGTCCCCCTCGCCAAAGATGCCGCTCGGCCGCAGCGCGCACGTTGCCAGGTCCGGGCCGTTGGCCTGGGCGCAAGCGGGTGTGCGGGTGTGGGCATGAGGGGGTGCGGGCGTGGGCGCGGGCGGAAAGAGGGGCGGAAGAGTTTGGTGGGTGGCTGTGAAGCGGCGAAGCGGGCTGAGTACGAAAGGCTGCAAAGCCAGGGGAAGAGACCGAGCCGCATGCCCTAACCTGCCGCTCTCGCGCCTTGCGCGGCCTGCCTGTCAGAATCCCCCAACTCCCCCACCCCTGCTTTTGGCGGCCTGCCGCGGCACGCGTGCCGGCCCCCTCCCTCCCTCTCTCGCGAAGCCCCGTTCATCCCCACTCCCCCTTTCCATCCCTCAGAACCGCCCCAGTGCCCCCCAGCAGCCCTCAACTCTTTCTGGCACAACACCCTCCCCCTTGGGCCATGCTACCGATCCCCCCAAAACAAGAAAACAGCCCCACGCACCCACCTCCAGGGCCATCCTCTCGCCCTTGATCTTTGTCTCAGTGTAGTAATCCATGGGGCGGGACGCGTAGGGCAGGGACTCGTCCACGTTGACCAGGTCATGCCCCTCAAAAACAACTGACAGGGGGTGGGGGGTGGGGGTGGGAGGGTGTGGTGCGGATGAGGAGAGCGAGGCTTGGTCCAGCCGGCAGGGCATTAGCGCGGGTCCTCTGCTTGCCGCCCGAGGCAGGCGTGCCCAAACTGCGAGCTGCAGCGAGCGGGCGCCGGGCGCGCGGGGGCGCTTTGTGCGTCCGCCGCGCCCGTCCCTCCCTCACAGCCGGCGCGCCCTTCCCCCCTCACGTCCTGCGCCGCCTGTCACCACCCTTCCCAGCCTCCCCACAACCACTTTGCTGGGCCCCCCATCATGCCCCCCGCTCCCCCCCGCCCACACACACACGCACCCGAGGCTGAGCTGGTGTAGACCAGCTTCCTGACGCCGGCCGACCTGCAGGCGTCAATCACGTGGGCCAGCCCCCTCACGTTGACGTCATCCATCAGCTGCCTGACGCCACCAGGGGCACGACAAGGGGCCCCAGTGCGGACAGAGGGGCGGGGTCAGCTCAGCGAGGGGCTGTGTGATCAACATGATGGGGGCAGGGTGAGGGGGGCGGGGGCGCCGCCCTTGGGGTGCCCCCGCCCCAGGGCCTTGCAGCCGCGGGCGTGGGTGCATGGTGTGGGCGCATGTCAACTCCTCCCGTCACGCACGCACGAATGACCTGCCCGCTTGCGAGGCAGCGCTGGATCACCCATGCCCAACCGCACGAGCGTGCATGTATACACAGACGCACACACACATACACACACTCTCCCCTCTCACTCTCACTCCTACTTCCGCCCCCCAACCACCCTCAAACACCCTCCCCCCCCCACCCCTGCTGACCTGTTGAGTGAGTTCTCGCTGGTGGGGGTGGCGGTGGCCACGTGGATCACCACATCCACGCCCTCCACTGCCGCGGCCACATCCTCCAGCCGCCGAAGGTCCCCCACCCTGTCGTCCGCGCCCGCCACGCCGCTGGGGCGGATGTCGAATACGCGGACCGCGCTGTAGCGGCGGCTGTCGAGCAGCTGCCGCACGATGTGGCCGCCCAGGAAGCCGGCGCCGCCGACGACCAATGCTACGCCCTTGGCCATGGCGTGGGGCTGGCTGCCAGCACCTATGTGGTTGCGTACCGCGCTAACCTTCTTCCGCTGCCGCCGCTAGCAGCAACCAATGGAAGCCGTCGCCGAGGCGGCCGCAGCGCGTCTGGGCGACTGGGCACCGCTGCACTCAGCTGCCGCCGCCGCCGCCGTTGGCCTGCTGCTGCTTGCGCAGCGCGAGGCGCTCCAACTCTGCGTCGATCGCCTGCTCCAGGCGCACGCGGCGGTACTCCTGCTCAAGGGTGGGCAGCTGCCGCCCGAAATCGCCCTGGGGGTCGCCGGCCTTGGTCGGGAACTGGCGTGTGGGGTTGGGGGAGGCGGTCGTTACAACGGCAGTGCTGCGTACTGAAGAGGGCGGCCAGCAGGCTGGCGGGTGCGGGGCCGGCGCGACTGCGACAGCGAAGAGGGCATGTCGCTGACGGAGAGGGGCGGCGGGGGTTGCCAGGTCCCGGCCACTCACCCACTCCTTGATGGCGTCCAGATTGGCAGGATCACGCGCCAGACCGTAACCAAACCACGCAGGGATGCTGAGGTAAAGCACCCACTTGAACCTCTGTGATCACGAAGCAGTGAAGCCCACAGCTCAATGCACTTGGTCCGCGAGGGCGAGGGAGAGTCGCGTACGGCTATACACACATTATTTGATAATCGGGCACAACGCACAGGCAGCAAGCACCTCGCTCGGATTCAAGATCGCTCACCTCAAGCGCCTGCCGGGACACGAAAGGCAATTGCATTAGGGTGCTGACGGGACAAAAGTTTCAAGGGTGTTCAACCAGAATAGTGCAGTGGTGCATGGTTCATGCTCAAAACCCAAGTCGAGTTTTCGACACTGCCTGCGTCGTCGGTGTGCAGTCGCCGCTGATGCTGCGGCCTTGTCTGGGCACTCGGCCGCCCACCCCATCCCCCCCCCCCATTTTTGAACTTGATTAGAATTTCAAACCATTTGCCTAGACAAAGGCCACGCCTTCAAGAACCGCATACCGCTTTCAATGCTTGCTTTGATGACTAAACGCTCCGGGTGCAGCCTGAACAAGGGGGCTGGCGTGAGCTTAAGGGCTCAGGTGCGGTGCTCCTGTGAGCCTCTCGGCCCTCGATGCTCTGTCCTGATTGCCACGCCAACGCACAACCATTGGTTGCTATACCCGTGCCGTGACTCACACTTGAGTCAAGGGGACAACACGATACAGCTGATACCAAACCAACCAAAGCAGTGGGACTTCGTTGGCAACTGATCAGTGACATGACAACACGGATGTCAGATGTAGTCCAGCCGAGAAAGCACACAACCAGCAGCAACATCATCACAATTTCCAATAACAAGAACACACAAGCTCCCCGCAGGCCGGTCAGAACACTGCGGCAACTGCAGGCAAGCCGCCCCCGCTGTCGTGCAGCCCCATGAGCGGGCCCCGCTCCTGCCCTGCGCCGCCATCCAGGGGCAGCCCCAGCAGATCTCGACTGCTGCCCAGCCCCACGCCAATTCCTAGCGGCGGCTGGCGGGCAGGCTGCGCCAGGCGGCAGGCGAAGCTGCTGATGCTGGTGCTGAGGGCGCGCCCACCCCTGCCACTGCCCACCCCCGCGCTGGCGCTGTTGTGGCCCTCGCAACCGTCGCTGCGGCGGCGCGCGGAGGAGGACGGCAGCAGGCCAAGCCGGCTGAGCTCCGCGTCCAGGGCGTCACTTGAGGCGTCACCCGGTGACTGACGGGGTGCCGCCGCCGCCAATCCGGCATCGCAGATGGTTGCGTCCAGGCTGCCACCGCCCGCGGCGTCCCAGCGCGCGCGGGGCCTGGTCTGCTGCTGCTGTTGCTGCTGCTGCTGTTGCTGCTGCCCAGCCGGGCCGTCCCTGTCGCCGCCAAAGGGCCGCCCGCTGCCTGATGCGGTCAGCAGCTCGCTCGACGAGGGCATCGCCTGCGGGACACATGGCGGTACATGTGCTGCTCAGCTGGGTGGGCGTGCCATCACTCACAAAACCTAGTGACGGGATCGGGGGCCCGATACGGGCCTGCTGAGCTGCCTGGGCCGTGTGGCAGCCGCAGGCTGCACACCTGTTGCCGCTACCTGCTTGCCCAGACCCTGCACAGGTCAGCAGCCCCGCGCCCTCCAGCCCCACTGGAGTTGCCTGTGCAGCACAGAACCCCGACTCTCAACCCACCGCCCGATGCGCTCAACCGCATACGACACAATCACCTCGCACCTGCTGCTCGGCCACGAACCGCTTCAGGAACGCATCCAGCGCCTCAACCCCCTCAGGCTCACCGCCGCCGCCGCCGCCGCCGCCGCCGCCTTGTCCCAGGTCTATGCTGCTCAGCAGCCGCAGCTTGTCCGCGTTGCGCGCCGCTATCGACGCCAGGTCCAGCGGCGCGGACGCGTGATGGGCCGCCAGCGCGCCCGGCGCCGCCGCCGACGCGCTGCGGTCGAGGGGCAGCACGGTCGACAGCGCGCCCGGAGGCGCAAACGCGGCGGCGGCGGACGCGGACGCGGCCGCCTCGGACAGCAGGCCCGGCGCCGAGGACGAGTGCCGCGCGGGACGCGCCCAGAGCTGCGCCATGCTGTCAGACACCTGCGCGGCACGCTCACGCCCGCCGCCGCCGCCGCCGCCGCCGCCGCCGCCGCCGCCGCCCGTTGGCGGCCGCATGCCCGCAGGGAAGATGAATGCAGACTCAACCGCCAGCAGCGGCGCCTCCCCAGACTGATGCACCCCCGCCGTCGGAGCCGCCGCCCGGCCGCCAGCCTGCGCGCGCTCCGAGGGCCCGTCCAGCGCGCCTGACAGCAGCTGCTGCGAGCGTCGCAGCGCCGGCGCGGGCGGCGGCAGCTCCAGCCCCAGATCAAGCTCCCTGAGCGGCGGCGGGTGAAACGCCGGCGCGACGCGCGGGGCTGCGGCGGGGCCGTAGTCCGCCAGTATTGTGGAGAGGGTCTCTCTCTGCAGGCCGTCCCGAGTGGTGGCCAGGTCCCGCCGCACCTTGGTGCACGTATCAAGGGGATCAGGGGGGGGGCGTACGCAGTCGAGGATCCCTGCAGCATGGGCTTAATGATGTGCCACCAGACTCTGGTGCTCGGCGGTCGTCTCTCCCGCTGTCTGCGGGTGGCGCTCCGTCACTGCTGGAAAGCCCCCCGGGCACCCCTTCATTCTTGTCCTGCGCCCGAACACACCATTGAACACCCCTTGCTCCTCCCATGGGTTGCGGCGCGGTGGCCACCGCAACCAAGCGCACCTGCCCGAGCTCTTTGGCTGCCGCTGCGCTGCGCGCCTCCGCCGCCGCCGCCATGGCCCTGAGGCCGGCCATCTCAGTGGCCTGGCGGCCCACAGTGTCGCGCAGCTGCGCCGCCTCGCTCATCACCTCCTGGCGCAGCCTGATGAAATGGGGTTGTGGCGGTGCGCACACGCACGTGCGTGCAGATGTGTGTGAGTGAGTGAGTGTGTGTGTGTGTGTGTGTGTGTGTGTGTGTGTGTGTGTGTGTGCGTGCGTGCGTGCGTGTGTGTGCGTGTGCGCGCGCGTGCGCATAAGTGTGTGGGTGCGCATGCATGCACATCTGTGCGCATTCGTGCGTGCGTGCGTGCGTGCGTGCGTGCGTGCGTGCGTGCGTGCGGGCGTGCGTGCGTTCGTGCGTTCGTGATCTCGAATCAAGGGTCTTCTCATGTTGCATACATCTTGGTGTGTCCTATGCCTTTAAGGAGCGCTGGAGCTGCAAAAGCATCGTGCAAGAGGCGTGGTGCACAACTAACATGTGACAGCGGCCCAGCGGCCCGCAGAACCAAAAGCTCCTCGTGGGCACCCACCTGGCGATCTCTTGGGCCGCAGCAGCAGACAGCTGCCCGTCGTCCCTCGGCATCGCGGGGGCCTGCTGCTGCCACGGCGCCTGCTGCTGCTGCTGCTGCTGCCTGGAAGTGTAAAAGCTGGCCTGCGTCGCCAACGCGCCAAACGCCTGGCTGTCCTCCTGCGTGAGTCGCGGCCGCGCCACGAGGCTCGACTCGTGCCGCAGCTCCTGCCCGCCGCGGGGCGAGAGTTGGTCGTCCCCGGGGTCGCCGCCGGCACCGCCGCGGCCGCGGCGCTCGTCGCGTGTCTTGCGCCGCTCCTGCGCCGCCTTGGTCTTGGCGGCCTCCCAGGCGCCCGCCACCTTCTCCGCCGCGTCCTCCTTCTCGACTTTCTAAATTGGTGAGGTAAATCATGGGGGTCAGTAAAGCAGACGCATCCCACGAGCACGTCAACACGTGAGGGACACGGGCGGCAGGCGAGGCTCGGCAGCACCGCATTGCTGGCACGCGGCAATCATCAGCGACACGTGGAGAAGTCGCACGCATGCGCACAACAGCATGGCCGGACACTGTCAATAGCCCGCCAAGCGTCCGAACTGCGCAACATTGCCACCGCCGAGTATACATCTTCCCAGCCCCTGACACAGATAGCAAGCCCAGAGGCACTCTGCCCTCGTCCCTCACAACCTGTCCTCTCTGCCTAACCCCCCACCCAACCCACTCACCCAACCAGCCACTCACCCCCCCCCCACACACACACACACACATGCACATGCTGGTTGCCTGGAAAGCCAAACCCTGTACTGCCCCCATGGCCGGGGTCACATGTAGGCGCTCTACAGGCAAACACACACCACCTCTCCCCCATGTGGACGTTTGCATGTGGCCATTTATGCACATATGTTTACCCCCCCCCCCACCTGGCGCTCCTTGCCGCGCTCCTCCTCGTACTGCGCCGCCAGCCGCGCCTGCTCGCGCTCGAGGCGCTCCTCCTCGCGCCGCGCGGCCTCCTGCTCGCGCTGCTGCTGGGCCTCCTGCGCACAAGACGCACAGCACGCCAGCAGGGGCACGGCCAGCTCGGCTATTGGTAAGGGGGAAGGCTTGACACTGTACACGCTGCACTGGGGGCCTGGGAGGAATCAGCCTTCCTGGCACTGAACTGAAAGCTGAACGGCACGGCAAACTGACACTCACCGCTAGCGGCGTTCATTTGTTGCTCTCTATAACACAATAGAAAGCAGCAGCAGCAGCAGTGATCCAATCCTCAATGCCCTCCACTGCCACGTTTGCAACAGCAGCGCACACATGCACAGCCCTCGCGCACCTTGAGCGCCTTCTTCTCGGCCACCTGCCGCGCTAGCTCATCCTGCAGCTCGCGCTGCGCCTGCGCGCGCCGCTCCACCTCTGTGGCGGTCATGAACGCCTTGTCGCTGCGGAATTTCAAGAGGGGCTCGGGGGCTGGCCCCGATGGCGGCGCAGCTGTGGACACCGCGTGCTGCTGATGCGGTGGCTGCTGCTGCTGGTGCGGTGGCTGCTGCTGCTGCAAGTATGCGCCAGACGCGCGTGCATTGTCTCCCCAGGGTGGCGCAGGGCCCGCGCCGCCGACATACCCGGGCGAGGCCGCGCCAGGGCTCCACGCATCATTTTGCGGCGGGAGCTGCTGCCGCTGCAGCGGAGAGCCGTGCTCGCCGCCACCCCAGGCGTCGCCGGACCCGCCCCACTGCTGCTGCTGCGCCTCACCCTGAAACGCGTACTGAGGCCCTCCCTGCTGCTGTTGCAGATGCTGTGGCTGCTGCTGTTGGTGCGCAGGCGCCCAGGCAGCCGCTCCCTGCTGCCCCTGCTGCCCTTGCTGCGCCGCCGCCACGCTGCTGCGCATCGCCTTGTAGTCTGTCAGCACGCGGCCGTCCTCCCCTCGCAGGGGCGCGCCTGCGCCGGCGCGGCCCCAGGGGTCGCCGCGTGCGGCTATCTCGGCCTGCTTCCTGCGGTCTTCCTCCTGCTGCTGCCGCTTGTCGGTTGCTTTGCGGTCGGCGCGGTCGCGGATCTGCGCCTCCAACTCCAGCCTGCAGCAGTTGTGCGTGTGCGGGAGGGGGCAAGAGAGGAGAGGGTGCGTTCTGAGTATGGTTGTGCAGATAGAGGACAGAAGAGCAGAGCCCGCCTTTGCAACGTATCACCTCACGAGCACCAATCAAGGACGGCGGACGCGCTGTGCTTGGAAGAGAGGACACACAGGGGGGATCACATTGGCTGCCGCAACCCAGTGCGTTGGAGCGATGACGATGATAGGGCCGTCTGGACACCATCTCCAACCGGCCCTTGGCCCACCTGTAAGCGTCCTTCTTGGCCTGCTCCTGAGCCTTCTTGGAGGCCTGCTCTGCGGCTATCACAGCTGCCCCTGCTGGCGGCGAGTGCCAAGCGCTGGGCAGACCCTGACCGGCGCCTCCGAATGCCTGCGGCTGTGACGGATGCACAGCGGCAGCACCTGGCCCGCCGTACTGACCGCCCGTGTCCCACGGTCGCTGGGGAGGTCCCAACTGGTGCTGCTCTTGATACAGGGGCGGCGGCGGCGGCGCTTGCTGGTATGGCTGCAGCCCAGCAAACCCGTGCTGCTGCGGGCTGCCATTGCCGTTCAGCTGCTGCAGCTGCTGCTGATAGCGCTGCGCGATGGCGGCCGCCGCCCCTGGCTGGGCCAGCATGCCACCGCCGCCGTTGCCGCCACCCCAGGCAGCACCTACTCCATACGGGCCGAACCCCCCCGCTGCGGCTGGTGCGCCAAAGCCGGCTAGCTGTTGGTGGGAGGCCTGCGGGCTGCCGCCATCACCGCCTGCGTACCCGAGGCCACCGCCGGCATGGTGGTCGGCGGCGCTCCTGACACCCCAGGGCGGCTGCTGCGCCCATGGTGCCCCGCCCCCGGGCCCAAATCGCAGCGCTGCTGCTGGGTCGCCACACTGCGGCAGTGCCGCACTGGCGTCGTAGCTGCCTGGGTACTGCTGCTGCCGCTGGTGGTGCTGCTGCTGTGGGTGGTAGGCCGCGAGGTCGAAGGCTGCCGGCTCGCCCCCGCTGCCCCAAGCAGGACCGCCACCGCCAAGCATCCCTCCAGCAACTACACCGCCTGCTGCACCTGCCGGCCGCGCAGCTTCCCAGCCTGCAGCGCCGTGCGTTGCAGCATCGGGCGCGGGGGGCTGGTGGCGCACGCCGACACGCTCGGCGCGCTCCTGATGCTTGCGCTGCAGCCGCTCGTGCATCTGCGCTTCGAGCTCTGCGGCGTACGCGCGCTTGCGCTCCGCCTCCCGTTCCTGCAAGGCAAGCGGGCGCGCGAATGTGTGGGCGTGAGCAGGGCCGGCCGCCGTGCTTTGCCGCTCGCCACAGCGTGGAGCGGTGCTTATGAAGTTGTGCGTGGCACATCAAAATCATGCGGCCAATCACCAGACACAGGTGTGCACCTCCCAGGTCGCAAGCCAACAGGAGGTGCAGCAGCCATTCATAAATTATTGCGCGTCGACGGGCATCGCGACCTGACACGCACCTTGCGCGCCTGCGCTGAGTTACCCTCGCCAGCGCCATGGAATAGCTCGCGGACGCGGTCCTCCACTGGCTTTCCAGGCCGCACCATGATGGTGCCCTCCGCCCGGCTTGGACCAGTCAACACATCGTACAACGATGATCTGAGGAAGCGCTAAAGGATAGAGCTTGAAACTTACTAGACGTTTTCGTTTGAGTGGAAGCACCCGTCACAGCTTACACCGCGTCCACGTCCTCCCAACACGCGCGAAGCTGCCGTCGCCAACAAACCATGGCTCGCGTGGCCATGGTCCAACCATGCGTTATGGAACGCCCTGAATATCCCAAAGATTATAAATTATCACTGCAGTGGATCGGCGCTCGAGTCGGGCGTTTCACCTTGAGCTGCAGATCGATCCAGCGCGCGTGGTGGAGCGGGAGGCAGCAGAAAGATGGCTGCCGACTATGATTTTTTATTCAAGGTGCGCGCGGGTGGCGAGGCCGCTCGCCCAGGAGTGCCACCCCGCGTCCCCATCAGCCCGACCCCTCCCATCGTGCCCTCGGCCACCCAGGTGTTGCTGGTAGGTGACTCAGCAGTGGGCAAGAGCTGCCTGCTAATGCGCTTCACGGCAGACCGCTTCGACGAGGTCACCACGTCAACAATAGGTGTGCTGCAAGTGGGGTCATGTTGTGGGCGTTTGCAGCAGGGCGTGCTGGCAAGCTGTGCGCCTATGACGTGCATCACCGCCAGGCTGACTCAGACGTGCACCGCCGCGTCGAGGCAGGCGTCGACTTTCGGGTCAAGTACCTGAACCTGGGCGGGCGCCGCGTCAAGCTGACTGTGTGGGACACGGCGGGGCAGGAGCGCTTCAGGACACTCACCAGCAGCTATTACCGCGGCGCGCAGGGCATTATCTTTGGTGAGCAGGGGCAGAGCGGGGCGTTGCGCCAGCAGACCGCAGCAGGCGCATTCATGCGCGCCGCGCCCCAGGTAAGCGTGGGGCAGGCAGCGGGCCGGTCACGCCAGTTGCGTCCTGGCGTCCAAGGGGTTGGAGCAGTGGGGACCACGTTAGTATCGGCATCAGGCCGCAACGGGCTCGCGCCCGCGGCGCGCGTCGCCGATGGTGCCCTTGGACCAGCGGCCCACAGCGCAGCGACGCGTCTGCGGGCGCGCACGTGCGCGCAGTGTACGACGTGACGCGGCGGGAGACGTTTGAGGACCTGGAGCGCGTGTGGATGAAGGAGGTGGACATCTACAGCAACATAGAGGACGCCGTGAAGATGGTGGTGGCCAACAAGGTCGATCTGGTGGGTGGTGCGTGGTGGAGCACTGCGTAATGCGTGGCGCATGTGATGGAGCGCGCGGTGTGGGTGGGTGGGTGCTGCTGCAGCGGCCAAAGCTGACCGTAGAACTAGGCCTTTGGCATGCGGCAGCTGACGGGTGCAGCTGTTGCGCGGCTGCTGCGGCGTTGGCAGATTGGTGGGCGGGCTTGATTGCAGGCGCATTGAATTGTAGTCCGAGCGGGTGTGATGGCGGTGTGGGTGGTGCTAGACTGGGGGCGGCGCACGGGCTAGGACAGCCCGCGAGCTGGCGGAGCGGCGGTAGCGCTGCGGTCGCATGCCCCCTGCCTGGGCAGCAGCACCAGCTGCGGCGCCTGGCCGTCAACATTGCCGTCCTCCGACCTGGTCTCTAACCTGCGCCGCCTGCCTGGCTCCCTGCAGGAGTCGTCGCGCGCCGTCTCCACGGAGGAGGGCCACGCCTTTGCGCGCGACAACGGCTGCCTCTACGTGGAGACCTCGGCAAAGGTCAACATTGCGGTCGGCCAGGCGTTTGAGGAGCTGGTTCAGAAGATATTGGAAACGCCGGCGCTGCTGGACGGCTTCAGCCACCCGGGGGCCATCAAGCTGGACCAGCAGAGTAATGCAGCCAGCAGCTGCTCCTGCTGACGGCGCGGCGGGGCCATCCTGGAATTGCGGGGGCCGCCATTGCAGCTGCTGCTGCGGCGGTGCAGCTGCGACGGCGGCGCAAGCATTGGTTGGCGGTTGCACGTCTGTGCAGTGGCGACGCGCCACTGGCGGCGCTCCGCGGCTGGCATGTGCACAGCTTGTTGGGCAGCGCATGGCGGCTCTGGGGTGCCCGTCTCAGCCGCACGATGCCACGAGCGGTGGGGCATCATGCCTTCGAAATTTTCCTGCGAGTGACGTTTGGTGGTCGTCTGTGTTTGTGTTTGTCCTGTGGTCCCCCTCGCTGTTGCAGCGTTGTACAGGAGAGTGCAGAGGGAAGAGCGCCTGCCCAGCTTAGGACGGGTTGGTTTCAGGTGGCGCGCGCTGCTGGGTGCCCTGTCGCAACTTGCACCGCCTGTGCAGCTTCATCTGTCGTGCTGACCTGGCGGTGGTTTGATCCTGTTGCGATTCAGCCGGCGATAGCGCCGAGGGAGTGCCCGGCGCGTTTGTTCCTCCCACCTATGTACCATAAATTGTAAGTCACGGAGCACGGCTACCAGCTGCAGGCAGCGCAGCCGGCTCCTGCTGCTCTGTTGTGGGTTGTGCCGTGCAACGCGTTGCCTCGCCCCGGGCAGATTGGCAGCCCAGGGTCCAGGCCCGCAAATACGCACTTGCGTGCGTGCGCGCGCGTGGCGCCTGGCACCGCATAGCTGCCTACTGCAGTCAATTTCATATGTTGCAGGCGTAATTGTCGAATATCTGAAGACGTTTCATACCTTGGAGATTGGTTGGCTGTCAACCAGGAGCCTTGCGACGCCTCTGCCCAGAGCGACGTGTGGGGCGGCTGTTGCACTCCATGACAAGCCATGGGACGCCTGAGCTATGGGGGTGTTGCGACCGTTGGTGTTGCAAGCCTGCTGACAGCCCCTGTATTTAACGTGATGCCCAACATGGCGCATAGCGATATGCCACTTGAGGGGACGGCGCAAGCCAGGCGGGCAAGAATTTGTGAGCTAAGCAGGCGGATTGATGGGTATATACAAGTACCTGCGCTCATATGCATGTGGTTGAGCCCTCAACGGGATTAAATGCGTGTGTAGCTTATCACACAAAAGAATCAGTTGCTGCGCTGTGTGTGCCAGTCTTATTAGTCAACGTGACCCCCCCCACGTCTTGCTGGCCTAAAAATGCAAGTCGCGGAGTCACCTGCGGCATATGCACTGATTCCCAAGTCATATCAACCCATGCATATCGGGTGATGAGCACCCACGGTTGCGTGTTCCCAGCCGGGTCCTATCGGCGTGCTTTGAAGCTCAATGCCTTGTTTTAGCAGGTAGAACACGTTTCATTCAATTCAGTCGGTCGATCACCGGCGCGAGCGGTCCCACAGACAGAGTTTGGTGTAGCAACGGCAGCAACGGCAGCAGCAGCAACAGCACCGGCGCTACCGCAACAGTAGGCGTCGGCAGCAGCAGCGCCGCGAACTCATTGGGGTGCCGCCCATGGGTGACAGAGGCGGCGGCAGCAGGGCCAGCAGGGTCAGCAGGGTCACCCCCACCGTCCCTACCGGCTTGAGCGGCGAAGAGGCGGCGGACTTTGAGCGCCTGCAGGCCCTGTATGCGGGCACCGAGTTTGGCAGCAACCCCACGCCCGAGAGCTTTGGGCGCCTGCTGGCCGGCATGGCCGCGCGCGCCAACGTGCCGCCGTCCGCCCTCGCCCAGATGCTGCCCGGCGGCGCCGCCGCCCGCCGCCCGGCTGGCGTGCACGGCGGTCGCCCCCGCGGCGCGCCCGGCCGCCCGCTCGCCGGGTTCGGCGGCGCCGGCAGCGAGGACGAGGACGAGGTGGACGATGCCAGCATGGAGGCACTCATGAACCAGATGTTCGGCATGACCCCGCCGAATCAGAGGGCGCCGGACGGCGCCCTGGATGACGTCATGCGCGACCTGGCCTCCGGCCCCCGCCACGGCCCCGACCGCGCGCGCAGCCTGCGCCTGCTCGCCACCTTTGCGCGCGACAGCGAGCCACGCGCGCGCCAGGTCGAAGGCCGCGGCCTGCTGCTGGCGGCGATCGCGGGCGACGCGCTGGCGCCGCCCGACGCCGCGTGCCGCACCGCCGCGCTCGACGCCGCCGCGGAGCTCTGCCGCTCGCGCCCTGCGGCCGCGGCCAAGCTCGGCGGCGCGGCGGTCGGGGGCTTCGGCGGCGCGGGCCCCGCCTCGGCAGCCGAGGGCCTCGAGCGGCTGATCGCGGCAGGGGCGCTCGCGGCGGCGGACGGAGCAACGGTGCGCAATCTCGACCTGGCGGCCGCGGGCCTCAAGGCTTTCACCTTCCTCGCGGCCTCGTCGCCGCGCGCCGCCGCCGCCGCCGCGCGCGCGCACCCCGACGCCGTCCGCGCGGCGGCCGCGAGCATGCTGGCGGCGCCCGACACGCGCGGCGCGCGCACGCTCGACGCGCGCTGGCGCGAGGCGGGCGGCGCTGACGTCATCTCCCTGTCGGCAAACATGGTGGCGCAGCTGGCGAAAGCCGGCCCCGAAGCTGTCGAGCAGCTGCTCTCCACGGCGCCCCAGATCACGGACGCCGTCTTCCACCTCCTCGTCGCCCGCCGCGGGGCGTGCGCGTCGTTCGGCATGGCCGAGCAGGCGCTCTCGGGGCTGTGCGCGTCGCCGCAGGGGCGGGCCGCGGTCGCGGCGCGGCCGGGGTACCTCACGCGCATCGCGGCGGCGCTGCGGCGGCTGCCCGCGGACGCGGTCCAGATCGCGCAAGACGCGGGCGGCCGCGGCGGCGGCGGCGGCGGTGGGGGGGCAGAAAGCGGCGCCCGGCGCCCGGGGGCGGCGGAGGCGGAGGCGGCGCCGCTGCCCAAGCGGCTGGCGGAGGTGTCGGATGACCTGCTTGACGCGCTGCAGGCGCTCCTGGGGCTGGCGCACGCCCCCGCAGACCCGCGGGTCGAGGCGGACGCACGCGCGCCGGGCGTGGCGGCGGCGCTGTCGGAGGCGCTCGCGCCGTTCGTGCCCTGGCTGCGGGCGCTGCCGGGCCAGGCGTGCGGCGCGCTCAACGTGCTCGGGCAGCTGGCCCGCCTGCTGGCGGCCGCGCGGCCGCGCGGGGGCTGGGCGCGGGAGGTCCTGGGGCCCGGGGGCCTGCGCGGGGCGCTGCCGGAGGTGCTGCTGGGGGTGGGCGGCAAGGGCGGCGGGACAGAGGACGACGAGTTTTGGTCCCAGGGGCGGCCGTCGCCGGGGTTCGACGCGCAGCTGCGCGCGGCGCGGCTGCTGGCGTTGTGCACGCGCGACGTGCACGGCGCCGCGGCCGTGGCGCGCAGCAACGACGTCTGCGACGCCGCCGCGGCCGCGCTGGCGGCGCAGGCGCAGAGCGCGTTCGGCGGCGGCGGCCCGTCCCCGGTCGGCGGCCCGGGGTGCCAGGCCGTCCAGATGCAGCGCTGCGCCTTGGTGTGCTGCCTGGTCGACTTATTCGACGACCTCGTGCCGGAGCAAGGCGGCGAGCTCGACCTCGGGTTTTGGGCAGGGGAACCCGGGGCTGGCCCCCGCGCGCTCGCGGCGCACGAGGGCGCCGGCCGCCGCGCCCTCGCGCTCGTGGCGTCCAGGCTGCGGCCGAGCATGGCGCTGATGCTGGAGGTCGACACGGCACGCGAGGTGGTGGAGCGGGCCGACAGCATACTGCGGCGCCTGAGGGCCTGGGAGCAGGCCTGGGCTGCCACCGGCGGGGCGCCGCCGGCGCCGCGGTGGGGCCAGCCGGAGGCACGGGCACCAAGCGGCAGCCCTGGTTCCGGTGCGGCGCCGCAGGGCCGTGGCGGCGGCGGCGGCGGCACCATCAGCCCACGCACAGGCTGGAGCGGCGCAGGCGGCGCGGGCCCCAGCGCCGCGCATGCGGCGGCTGCAGCGGCGCCGGCGGATGTCGCCGTGGCGGGCGGCAAGCCTCCAAGGGAGTGCTTCAGCTGCGGCAAGAGGGCGGGGGAGGCGGGCGAGAAGCTGCGAGCCTGCACCGGCTGCTTGGGGCTGGCATACTTTTGCAATGTCACCTGCCAGCGCCAGGGGTGGCCGCGGCACCGTGACGCGTGCCGTGCGGCGCAGGCGGCGTCGCAGGCTGCGGCTACTTGATGGCCGGGTTGGCACTTGCAGGTTGAGCTCCGGTGACTCTTTTTGCGCGCTGCTGCAAAGTACTCACCATGCAGCATGGCTTTGAAGGGACGGCTGCTGGAATTTGAGGCTGATTGATGCTCGAAATAGTGACCTGCACTGTGCTGCATTTTGTTAGTTGTACGTTAATTTTGATGGACGGCCTGCTCCCCTGCCTGTTTGGGTGTCAGCCCACCCCACACTTGGCTGCCCTTTTGTCTACCAGCATCACAATTGCAAATTTGCAGCTGCCCTGTCTGTGATGCACCCCCACCAATTACTGTTCGACTCGCTGAGTCTGCGCCTGGGATACCTGCACATACAAAGCAAGATGTCCTTATGAACCCGTCGACGCGCACACACTGTGCTTGCAAGCTCTTCTGACCTTCCTGGGGGGCCATGCCAGGGGTGCGGATGTCAGGGGTGCAGGTGACCATTGGTCGGCTGCCCCAGCTTTACCAGCCTCTTCTGAGGGCTCTTTGTTGCTCCCCAGTCCAAATTGCGGCACACACTTTGTGTGGCGTAAATCGCCCGGGCAAGAAAACATGAATCATGGCGCTCAGAACATCCAGGTTCCCAGGACAAGGTGCCAGGCGCGTGCAAGCTGCCATCAAGGGCCTATGCCCGCCCTGAATGTGAGACTGACACTGAGAAACTCTAGAACAGATCTGCACTGTCCTGCCAGCTCAACCACGCTGTCATTCTGCTGCGCCCTCAACCTCGCCGCCCGCTGCGGCCCCCCGCTCCTCCTCTCGCGCCTCCTCGCCGCCGCCCTGCAGCCCGCCGTCGTCATCCCCCTCCAGCCCCGCGGCCTTGATGACGGCGTCATTGATCTGGTCCACCCACTGGTCATCGGTCAGGGCCTGGGGCTTGGCCTGGGGTTTGGGGCGGGTTGGCAAATGGGGCGGGGTCAATCGCGCAGTCAAGAAAGGTGTTGGAGGCATGACAGGATTGATCGCTTGCATACACGTGATGTTTGTGATGGGTGCACGCAGCTGTGTGCACCGCGCAGTCGCGGATGATAAGGCAGCGTGGGCGTGAGCAGTGAGGGAGTCTGCTGCCTTCACACAGTCACGCACGTGCGTGTGCAGCACGCACACTTGCTTGTGGAGGCGTGTGCGCGTGCGTACACACACACACACACACACACACACACACACACCACACCACACCACACCACACCACACAAGCAGCAGGAGACGGAACAACCAGCGGTACAACAGCAGTACCACCGCCCTTACTGCCATCCCATGGCCCCTGATTCCTACGTACCTGGCTGTAGGTCTTATTTTTGACGACCCGCCTCATCTCAGCCACGTGCTTCGACCCCAGCCCTGCCACCACGTAACGCGGCAGCCGCAGCGAAGGCAGCGGCGCCGCCCAGGCGGGAGACTCAAGCTGCCCGGCGCGCGTCGCACACCTCAGCCGGACTGTCACGGACGCAAAGTCCAGGCTGGGCCGGATGCGGCCGGACTGCAAATGAAGGTGTGGAGAGAGCGGCGTCTCTCCTTGGTGCAATCGTGCTTCAAATGAAGACAGCAAGTCTTATGTAGGGCCTGGGGGTTGGGCTGACCTGCTCGCCTCCTTGGCCCAAGGGGGAGGGCTGACCAGAAGGATGATACTTGCGTGATTCGTGTGTCCCCAGCGCACCTTGATCTGCGCCACCATGACTGCGTGGGGGTCACCCCTGGCCGCCACCTCAGCCAGCAGGGTGGACCCAGGGACACCCTGAGTGGTGTGGGGAGGGTGGATGGGTGGGTGGCTGGGTGTGACTGAAACGTGCCCCCCAGGTTCATGCCTTTGGGCAAAACAACTTGCGCTGTGAAGCTGTGGAAACGGTGTGAATCTTGCAACAGGCTGGGCTGCTCCCTCCGGCGGCAGCAAGCATTCACCAATTTGCACCCTGCTGCACTTCAGGAGCGCTGCCGTCACCAGGCGTTTGACACGGCCCCTTGCATGGTGCCACCAATGACCTGCCTCCCGCCCGCCCGCATGCGAGCGTGGCGGTTGGTTTGTCCATTTCATGCACACCTGGAACAGCGGCAAGTGGTAGGTGCCGCTGGCGACAAAGGCGCCGCACCGCTCAAACACCGGCAGCAGCGCCCAGCCCGCGGGGGCGCTGCCGCCGGCAGCCGGCACGACGTAGCGCACGTCCACCACGACACAGAGGCCGGGGGAGTAGGGCGCCCCCACAAAGTGCTGGAAGCCGTCGAGCCACCTGCGAGGACGGGGCGCAGGCCAGCAGGCGGTTGTTTGCCGGGGCACTTGCGTCTGCGTTCAGCCTCATCATGGCCTTGAGCGCCTGGGCTGTGTCATACATTCAGGCACTGCCATGCGCATCAGCCTGCGTGCATGCTGCCCAGGCATGGTGCGGCAGACCAGCTGCGTCAATGAGCTGCTTTCTGTGCAGGCTTCCCCACCACCAGCGCGCCTCAGAGCCACAGTGGCTCGCTGCAGCGGGCAGAGCAGACCGTGACATCTGCTTGCCATCCACTCTGCCACCCACCGTGGTGCTGCCAGGGGTGCGGTGAGGTCGTAGTCCAGTGTCACCTTGACATCATCCACGATAGGGTGGTCCTGCGCGATGACGCACAAGGGGTGCGCAGTTGAGCCACAGTTGCCTGCCGGGAGCCAGGCGAGCTGCCAGCTAGCGTAATATGCGAAACCCATGGCGTCTCTGCACACATGCGTCCGTACCCACGATCACCTGGTAGAAGCTGCCGGGGGGCGCGTAGGTCACGAGCGCAGCAGCGGGCAGCAGCCGCGACACCCTGTGCGCCCCGTCCGCCGCCACAAAGAAGCCCATGTTTGGCTGGTACTCGCGGGCGGTGTTGAAGTCGATGAAGGCGGCTGGGGGCGCACCCCTGGGGCACATGCGCAATACATTGTGTCGATTGAGGGGGGAGGCAGCAATGATTGGACAGTCAGGCAAGTAGGGCATGCCGCCTCTACGATTTACGTGTGTTAACACGCCCTGCCTTGCATCGCCACAGGGTTGGACTTGTGACCAATTGCCTAGCACACCCCCACGAAGCTTCGTTGGCAGGCAGTGTGTAGCTTGGGTTGGCGGGAGGGGCGGGTCTTGAACAGCACTGAGAGGACCACACACACCGCAGCACCTTGTGCCCTGCCCTCACAGACATCTCAAAAAGTACCGTCGTCCCGCCATTCGACCAGCCCCAACCCCACCCCTTGCCCTCGCCCCCTCACCCTGGGCCCCTGAGTGCGTCATCCATTGCATCCATGACCTCGGGGTCGCTGGGGGGCAGCACCTCGCCTGCAGAGGGGGGGGGTCATGAGGGGGGCTGGCAAGCTTGCAGGCAGTCAAGGTTTGGGGGGCGGCTTGAAGAATGAGTGCGCTTGAGAGTGGGAGGGTGCAGCCGCTGTAATGTCTGCGTGCGCTGCATCGAAGCCATGGGACTGATCTCAGACACAACCTGGCGGCTGGCGCTGCTCATCAGCCCTCAGCAGCCAGCCTGCAGCGTTGGCCCCGCCTTGCTCCACGGCCCCCCCCAAACAAAAACGCCCGCAGCTACGCATCGCCCGCAGCAACGTCCTGCCCACTACTGCCCCCCACATACACACACCGCCCAGCAC